CCCCCCCCCCCCTTTTGGTTCTTTTTTTTTGGTTTTCATTTTTCCTTTTTTTTCCGAGCAGGATTTTAGTGTTTTCGAACAACAACAAAAAAAAAAACCTCTTGCAGTTTGAAACATTGTCGCTTTTTATCTGCCTTGGAACTGTTTTTCACACATGCCTTTGTTTCGGGAATAAGCTTGTTTGGAATGTCTGTCCTGTGCTGTAACACGTGCTACGGTTTTGCTGTGTGGGAATTTGGTCCTTTCGAGAGATAACTTGGTGCTCATCACATCCTGGTAATTCCCCCCCTGACTTTTAAGGCTGGATTCTCAATGTGGGCTTGGGGTTTTGTGGGTTTTTTTGGGGGGGGGGGGGGTGTTTGGGTTTTTTTTTTTTGGAGTTTCGTGTTCCATCCCCACGTTTCGTGACGTGAATCCCTCAGGTCTCAGCTTGGGAAATGGGACAAAGAAAAAGAGAGGGGGGCTAAAAACTTATGAGCCCAACGAGAGTGCACTGTAAATAAGAGTCCTTTAAGAAATCAAAAATTAGGGCTTGTAACAGGGGGGGTATGAATATTTTTTTTTTTTTTTCTGGTCATTCCCTTTGACGTGGGACAAATTCCTGGTGCCCCCCCTGGAGTCCTTTCCCTGTCCTGGGGGGGGTGAACACACCCTTGTCTGGGAGGCTGAAGGGTCTCTTGTGTCTTAAGGTGTGTAGCTGGAAAAGCCACAACCCAAATTGTGCAGCTCTTGAGAATCCTTTAAAAAAAAAAAGGGAGGACTTCAGGGCACCATCAGCTTCCTTTTGTGGGCATTAGAGTGGTTGCTTTCTCTCTTAAACAATAAGCACTTAAGTTTACTGTCAATTAGAAATTAAAACACCGATCACTTTTTATTCCTGACAGTTTTAAAAAGTCTGCATTGAATATCTGCAACTTTGGCCTGGTAAGTTTGCCCTTCTCCTTTTGGGAAAACCAGCTTTGGAACTGTTTGAATCATCTATTTAAATATATATATATATAAAGAAGAGGAAAAAAAGGGGGGCTGGGGGAAGAGAGAAGGGAATGGGTGAACTGCAGACCCCCACAAAACAAACAACCCAAAGAAAATCGAGTGGAACTGGGAGCAAAAATCTCCTTCACTCGATTTCCTAAACAGGAATAAAATTAAAATACAGTTAATTCCTGCAGCAGTCTTTACAGAAGTCCTGAGAAAAAGGGCTGGAGGGCAGTTAACTGTATTTTCTTATTCCACTCCAAACTCCTGTAAGGATTGAATTGGCTGTTTCTGGCTCAAGTGATCAGAGAAGCCCCACAAACTCTATTCACTTCAGCACTTCCCCAATTCTGCCACTTCTGTCAAGTTGCCATATTGTGTGTATTAAAGTAATTAAATGCAATTTTCTCACTTAATGATGTATTACCCAGGTATGTAACTTTGTTTAACATAAGCATTTTGTATATTGTTTACATTTTGAGAGGTAGCATTACGTTAAAAATGCTAATTTTTTTGTTTCTAGACAGTATTTTTATTACCAGAATAAGAAGTGAAGCTGCAAATATTTGATTTGTTTTTAAAAGGGACTTTTTTCTTTAGGTTTTTTTTTTTTTTTTTTTGTTGCTGTTGTCGGTTTGGTTTTGTTTTGTTTTTTGGTTTTTATCTTGTTTTAGGTCACTTTTTTTAACTCGAGTATTTAAAAAAAAAAAAAAGAAAAAAAAAAAAAGGACAACCCAGCCCTTTCAATTCTGGTTTTACAACTGCTTGTGCTAGTTTGTTGTCTGTTCCTGGTGTGAATTTAGTTCTAGTTTGCTGAATGTAGATATTTCTGTCTGTAGCATGTACCCTGCAGAACACTTTACACTGAAGTGCATTTGACTGACCCCCCCCTCGGCTGCCAGACTTGCAGGTTGCTCAGATTTGGATCAGAATGCAGGATTTTCCAACAAAAAAAAAAAACAAACCAGGGCAGTTTGGTCAGCTGGAGTTAAAAATAATCAGTGTGCAGCACCTCTGGCAGTGCCTGAAGCTGTGCAGGGAGCTGCGGGATCCACACTCCACAGGGTCTCTCTCTCTCTCTCTGATCTGTCAAAATTTAGCAACTAAAACCTGCTTTGAAGTTTGAATTTCCACCTTCCCTGTCGATTCAGCTCCTCCAGTGGAACCAAGAGTGGGAGAGGGAAGGGCAGAGCCACAGCTTTGCTCCAATAGTGCAATAAAACCCACTCGGGAGCGCGTTGGGTCACCCTTCAACGGGATCCAGGGGTCCCAGGAGCTCCCACCCTTGGTGCCAGTGCTGGGAAGGGGGTTTGGAATTTGCTGTGGGAATACCAGCAGGAGTTCACTCCTCATGGCATGGTGGGATCCTTCCCCCTGCTCTCTCTGCCTGACCCGGGTTTAATTCTAAAAAGCCACAAATCACGAAATTCATCCCCGGGGGGGGTCAGGAGGTGACTCGGGATGCCTGAAAAAAAGGAGGCTGTGCTCCTGCATCCTGGTTTGGAATCAGATTAGCATGATCAGCGAGAAAACTAAACCACTTGAGTCTTACTTCCTTTTTTTTTTTTGGGGGGGGGGGGGGGGGAAATCCCTGCTTTGCAGAGCTCTGCCTTGCACAGGGGCAGCGGGTGGGGAGCAGATCTGAGCCCAGCGAGGGGGAAGTGAGGGTGTGTGGTAGTTGGGGGCCGTGGTGGTGGATGCTCCCAGTCCTGTGACTACTATGCAGTCTTTTCCAAGCCTCCCTGAGCTGCAGGAAGTTTTCCATCCCGGGGTGTTCCCACCCTTGCCGAGGTCAGAGTGGTGTCGTGCCCCAGCAGCCCTGGACTCCCCCCCCCTCACCTCTGCAGAGCCATTCTCACTGTCCCCATCAGCCACTGCCTGTTTTCCTTGCTCTTTTGGATTTGGAAAAGCTCAGAGCCAACTGCTGGTCGTCATTTTTGGGGTGGTTTCAGTGGTTGCCACTCCAAAAATTGTGCTGCTCTCTGGCTGCACAACCCCCCCCCCCCCCAAAAAAAAAAACAAAAACCAGCTGGATGGAGTGGTGTTGAGTGGATTACACACAGGTCACAAGGGTTGGGCAGGGCTAATCAGTGCAACTGAAAAAAAAATGTGAATAAATTAAGTTTAAAAACTAAAAAAAAAATAAAAATAAAAAATAAACATTCTAGGTTTTTTCACTGCTGTTTTTTAAATAGGAATTTTAAGTCCTCTGTGCTTGTCTGTTTGCTAGGAGCAGTTTGAGACACTGTTACTGTTTTGAAATGCATGCATGTTACAAGATGAGTCTCCAACCAGAGAAAAATAAAATTAAAACTTTGTGTACATCTGTGCCTTCCTGCTGTGCTCTTTGCCGGGGTCCTGCTCAGCTGCCATCAGCCAGGTAGGTGTCCCAGCACAAGGGGGATGCTTTAAACTGCCAGAGGGAAGGAATTCCTCCCTGGGAGGGTGGGGAGGCCCTGGCACAGGTTGCCCAGAGAAGCTGTGGCTGCCCCTGGATCCCTGGAAGTGTCCAAGGCCAGGCTGGATGGGGCTGGGAGCAACCTGGGATCATGGAAGGTGTCCCTGCCTGTGGCAGGGGGTGGCACTGGGTGGGCTTTAATGTCCCTTCCAACCCAACCCATCCCATGATTCTTTGGACCACAACTGGAGAAGCCTTTTTACAGTGTCTGTAAGATGGGGGGGCTTAAGTAAGAACTGATTTTACTGAGTCCTGGCTCCCAGAACAAATGGATTTGTCCCACTCCACGAGCTGCAGCTCAGCCCTTCACATCCAGGTGCTCTGAGGGGAGCAGGTGGCTCAGAGGGAAAGGGAAACTCTGCTCCCACCTAAAAGCTGAGCTGCTCCTCACAGCTTTAGGGAGGAGAACTCGATCCTCGTGTTCAGACCAAGCAAAGGCAAGTTCACTCCAAGCCAGAGGTTTATTTTAAAAAAGTCCCAGGCCGGGTGTGGCACAGGAGCAGCTGTGCTGGGCTAGTCCATGCGAGCCTTCAGGGTCCTCGTGGTGATCTTGTCTTTCTCTCTAGAGGGGGAAAGAGAGAAGATTGTTAATAAATCCACTTTTAGTCCCCACATAGAGCCTGTCCCTCCCTTAGGAAGCTGCAGGTGCACAGGTAGGCTGGGTCACCTGAACTCAAAGTGGCTGTGAGAACTGAGCAAACCCCCTCCTCCTCCACCCCAGGGGAGCTCCCGGGTTTGGAATGTTGCAGGGAAGTAAAAGAAGCTGCTTCAGGAGCCAGTTTAGTTGCAGAGCTGGGAGTTAAAACTACACCCAGCTGAGGCAAAGAGCGTCCTCTTGGCCACTGC